AAAATAATATAAATTTTATGGTACAATATAACACAAACACATACATGTAGAAGGACATTATGAAGGACATATCTACAGTGGCTATCTCCAAGTGGTGACATGACAGAGGATTGTCTTATTTTCTTCTTTATACATTTTTAACTTAGTGTTATATATATATACACACACACACATACATACATATATATATATATATATACACACTGACTTCTAACAATATTTTTTAAAGAGTTGTACAGGTAAACTATTCCTAAATTAAAATACTCAAAAATCACACGTAATCTTGGCAACCAACTCCATGATTTTATCAGAAAATAGGACAGCTTTCTCATATCATTTATTCTACACTCAAGAGCCCGCATCTCCATGACAATCCTAAGTCAAAAGAACAAAGCTGGAGGCATCACGCTACCTGACTTCAAACTATACTACAAGGCTACAGTAACCAAAACAGCATGGTACTGGTACCAAAACAGAGATATAGACCAATGGAACAGAACAGAGTCCTCAGAAATAATACCACACATCTACAGCCATCTGATCTTTGACAAACCTGAGAGAAACAAGAAATGGGGAAAGGATTCCCTATTTAATAAATGGTGCTGGGAAAATTGGCTAGCCATAAGTAGAAAGCTGAAACTGGATCCTTTCCTTACTCCTTATACGAAAATTAATTCAAGATGGATTAGAGACTTAAATGTTAGACCTAATACTATAAAAACCCTAGAGGAAAACCTAGGTAGTACCATTCAGGACATAGGCATGGGCAAAGACTTCATGTCTAAAACACCAAAAGCAACAGCAGCAAAAGCCAAAATTGACAATTGGGATCTCATTAAACTAAAGAGCTTCTGCACAGAGTGCACAGGCAACCTACAGAATGGGAGAAAATTTTTGCAATCTACCCATCTGACAAAGGGCTAATATCCAGAACCTACAAAGAACTCAAACAAATTTACAAGAAAAAAACAAACAACCCCATCAAAAAGTGGGCAAAGGATATGAACAGACATTTCTCAAAAGAAGACATTCATACAGCCAACAGACACAAGAAAAAATGCTCATCATCACTGGCCATCAGAGAAATGCAAATCAAAACCACAATGAGATACCATCTCACACCAGTTACAATGGCGATCATTAAAAAGTCAGGAAACAACAGGTGCTGGAGAGGATGTGGAGAAATAGGAACACTTTTACACTGTTGGTGGGATTGTAAACTAGTTCAACCATTATGGAAAACAGTATGGCGATTCCTCAAGGATCTAGAACTAGATGTACCATATGACCCAGCCATCCCATTACTGGGGATATACCCAAAGGATTATAAATCATGCTGCTATAAAGACACATGCACACGTATGTTTATTGCAGCACTATTCACAATAGCAAAGACTTGGAATCAACCCAAATGTCCATCAGTGACAGATTGGATTAAGAAAATGTGGCACATATACACCATGGAATATTATGCAGCCATAAAAAAGGATGAGTTTGTGTTCTTTGTAGGGACATGGATGCAGCTGGAAACCATCATTCTTAGCAAACTATCACAAGAACAGAAAACCAAACACCGCATGTTCTCACTCATAGGTGGGAACTGAACAATGAGATCACTTGGACTCAGGAAGGGGAACATCACACACCGGGGCCTATCATGGGGAGGGGGGAGGGGGGAGGGATTGCATTGGGAGTTATACCTGATGTAAATGAAGGGTTGATGGGTGCAGCACACCAACATGGCACAAGTATACATATGTAACAAACCTGCACGTTATGCACATGTACCCTACAACTTAAAGTATAATAATAAATAAATAAATTAATTAATTAAAAAAAGAGTTCACTAAGTCTGTTCCCTTGGAATATTTCCTTCTCAACAATTACCTCTCATGCTAATAGTCCAAAAATGACTGAAGGAGCATACGCCTACCTGTACTTTGTATATAAGCCCAATACTTACATACGCAGATCACTGACCAATGAATCAATATCAAGAAAGAAGGCCATTCATAATGACTATTACATGGACTTAAATATAGTTTGCTTAGTTAATACTTCTTACTGGGAACTTTTAAAGCCTAATAGGAAAATATAAGCTTAGAAAGTGTTAGTCACATTCCCCAGCAATATAATAACAAAAAATAACGATATTATATAGAAATATCTAATATTAGCTTTAGAAAGAATCACATTTATTAAGTACTTTAAATGTTTCTGAGGTATTACAAAGGAAGTGGATAAAATCTGGATGAGATCTGAGCAGCCTATGATCTTGAGAAAATCAGAAATCAGACAAAAGAATAAAAGTAGAAAAGAAGCAAAACAGTAAGAGTCAAAAATGAGAGGCTCTTCAAGGGGAAAAAATCCATGTTAGGAGGAGTTATATGATAAGCAAAGATTTTAAGCCTAGCATAGTCAAGAAATGTTCACAAAAATAGATAATAATGAAAACAAAAGATTACGGAACAATATATCTGATAGAGGAATTCCAGGGCTATGAGAGAAGAAAGGAGAATGTCACATGGTGTAGCAAAACAAACAAACAAACAAAAACCAGTTATAGTCAAAACCATGAATTGAATTATTTAAAAACTGAAGGAATTTCATCTACTTAGTATGGTTTTAAAATGTGGGTCTGCATGAAAGAATGGATGCTATGAACATCTTATATGTTCTATCACATGAGTACTAAAGTTAGTATCCTAAATGAGAAAGCCCTAAACATTAGAAAACAGATGAACAGATTCCTATCTCAAATTTGATTGGCTAAATTTGAGACCACCATGCCCAATCTCATCCTGGCACAAATGTAGATTGGGGATGGCCCATCACATTTCTTTTCTCTAGTGAGTTGCTCAAGTTAAAAGTAGCACGCGGAGGCAATGAAACCATGCCATCCCTAAAATTTTCTGCCTATGCTAAGCATTATTTTTATTTTCTAAAACCATTTATTCTTCAAAAGAGTTTACCAAAGTTGCCATCCTTCCTATCAGCAGCTCCACCGGGCTCTGATGAGTGACATCCAGACATTTAAACTCAAAAGCTGCTTCAGAAGGGAGTTATTAAAATTCAAATGAGCTGGGTATATTGAAGAAGAAAACACTCGTTTGCATGCACACCTCCACATTTGGCCATCCCATTTAGCCCCATAGAGCAGGGTCTGGTTTTGTTTTTGTAAATGGGCTTTGGAGGCGGAGGTCAGCCTCCCACGGCCCCCACTCCTCTGGGGTCATCATTAGTAATGTGTAAGGCTGAATAGATTTTCCTCTGAATCTAGTCAGCAAACCTGACAAGACGACAGCCCTCTCCCACAACCTGAAAATGCCAAAAATCTGATTGGTAATAAATATGGCATTCTTAATACTTCATTTATTTGTTTTAAAACAGTTTTCAGCAAGACTGCACATAACAACACTGATTCCAGTTCCACTTGATTTTTCAGCCTTATAGCAGAACATTTCCTGTTGTACCATGACTACAGAATCGTAAAAATGTTACACTCAACCAAAAATTTCCCATAAGATTCAGAGAAAATTCATGTCTGCCAAGAAATATGGATCTGGGGAGGTAGACTAACATTTTATTCACTAGAAAAGAAAAACAGTCTAGCTTTCATTTGACCTTAAGAATTTTTACTTTTATTTCTCATGAAAATATCTCACCTCATTTTAAAATTTCATATCAATAAGCAACCTAACACAAAATACAGCAGAAATATATACATATTCCTAGCATTAGTTTGGCCATGAAAATTTTAGATGCTCATTTAGCAAGAATTTCTTCCTAATGAAGACATCTCTACTATAATATTTATTTTAAGTAGACTTAATTTATGGTAACATAAACAATGAACTAGTTGTACATTATAATATATGATCTGTTTATATATAAGTGCATCATGTACAACAATGACATAACCATATGTGAATTTTTACTGAGGATAAGTAAATCATGCTAATTCAGGACCCTAGAATAATAGCACAAATTCTAGAACTCCAGAAATTAATGGAATTTGTCTCCAGGCTATGAAAATATTCATAATCTGGAAGCTCCAGGGATTACTGTACCCAGTGGGAAATCAGACAACACAGCTTTAACTTCCCTTCCAAAGGTAACATTTTACTTCCACGACCCTCACAAATCACTCTGCCACTTCCAGATTTTTTCCAGTCTTTTTGGTTGTTTTTTTCCTTTCTAAAATTGGGATGGTCTTGCTATAATACAGGCACTGATTTTGCTCAGACTGACCTAATCAAGGAAGACTGACCTAGCCAAGGAAGAATAAAATTAGTAAATCCATCAATGAAAGAATACCACATTAATGAGGCTTATTCCTGAGCCATGACATGTTCAGTTCTAATCCATTTTTTCCTCACAGCCCTGAAAACTATATGTGTATTATTAAGGAACATTTATTCAATAAGTTACATGGCATTGTTCTGGCTCCAGTTAAAAACAAAAGGCACTCAATCTCTGTCTTCAAGTTGCTTGTACTTTAATGGGGGTGGCAGCAATACAGAATCACAAAGGCTCAAATATGTGCAAGGAAAAGAACACAAACTAAAAATAGGAACTAGAGCCAGTGATTTCAACAACACAGAATAATTATAAAAGATGCAGGGAGAAGATCTACTTGCAAGACAGATCCTGGGATAGAAACTGCACCCAGGTATGTTTTCTCTTTCTAAATCACACTCACTTGAAATGTAATCTGTGTTTGTACTTTTGAAAGGGCCAAATGGGAGATTAAGATTTTCACAGAGCCACCCATGGTCAGGGACAGTGATTCTAAGAAACCACACAATGTGTATATTTATGTACCAATTATTGTAGCTAGTTGCTGGTCATCTCTATTGCAAAGATGGTTTAGCAGACAAAAATATTCACCCCTTCAGATTTGTATTGCTTGATTCTGCAGAGGCATGCTTAGGGTACACAAATTTGCTTATAACAACATGCAGATAGAATGATAAAATTCAAGAAATGTGCTCACTTGCCTTTTTTTCCTCCTGTGATGAAGAAGCCAATGGCTGCTCCAATAAAACTGCTTTCAGGCAAATAGCTATAGTCAGTAGGAACTGTGGAGACAGAAAACGATCAAATTAACCAGTGAACTTGGCAGGCCTAATGAAGGAAAGATAATGATCTCATGCTGCCATATCAACCTAGAGACAAACTGGAGATGTTTATGCCATTAATCTCAGCACAATACTTTGTGGCTGCAACTAATTCTATTAGATTAAGTGACTGGCCTTGAAGTAATCACTTAAGCTATGCAAGCAAATCTAAAATGGTGGCAAACTTAGTAAAGTCTGGAAAAAAAAAATCACAGAGGATGAACACTTGAGTGAAGTGGTTAAAAAAAAAATCCTTTCCATATTGTCACATCAATGAGCCCCAATCCAGTGACCTCCTCAGAGTCAGCAAGGAATCTGATGAGCTTTGAGGCTGAGGTAGGTGCCACTTCAGGACATGCTGAATCAGATATACGAACCATAGAAATTCAACAACTAGTATTAACAGCACCAGTCCCTTACCTAAGGCAGAGACCTCTAAGTGACCAATATGTGCAAATAACCAGATGTGGTTACTAAGCTGGAATGGTGAAGCAGTGACATTTATGCTAGTCGAGTCCTGAGTGTCTCCTAAATTCTTTTCCTTTCAGTTTCCCATAATTGTTTCATGAGATGATTTTTACTGCAAGAAATGACTCAATTGGAAAATTCCATCAGGAACAAGTAGCTGTACTTTTCCAGATACACAATCATTTTGTTCAGAAGAACCTGGATGTATGATGATTCACTAGTACCTGATTTGAGTACATGCGGGCCAGACCAAATACCCCATAATATGGCAATTAAAAGCCTACATAAAAAAGTAAAAGCCTGACATAAATATCCTATCTTACCACGACACTGTGAGATCCCTGCCCTTCAAAACTAGTATTACCCAGGGCTTCCGGTATGACTAAGTTTTCTTATTTTTTCCATTTTAATATGGTAACTTTAGCTGTCTAAAGTTCACTACATTGCCAAGGCTGTGGACCAGTGTCCTATTTCCATAGCTACAGAATGACTGAAAGAAAGGAAAATGGTAATTACAGAGGCCCACATTTACGTTAATGCCATCTGTAGACTACTTGTTAGAGGGTAAGTAAAACTAGGTTTTAATAAGGAATCATTGGTACCTAAACCTCTCTGGCCTGGGTCCAAGATAGCCAATGGGTCAAAGTCCTATAAAGAGCAAGGAGTAGATGTATCAACAATCATTCCTTTCCCATAAAATCTCCAAGTACAAATGCACATTACGTATGTGGGAACTGCAAATATTTTTTACTGCTTTTACCAAAAAGCTAGAAATAGAAAAGGCCTTGTTATAATAAGACCCAGAATTTCAATTCCAAGGCTAAGAAGGTACACACCTTTAAATGTATTTACCCCATTATTTTTTCAAAATCAGAGGCCAGAACAACTCCAGTCAAATATGAAGAGACTTTTAATGAAACATGAATACTATACAAACTACCATTACATCTAGCAAAATAAATCTGTTCCAAGCTTGAAGGACCTGGTTTCTAGTTTCTAGATTTGTCACCAAATTAACTCTGTATGTAACTCATGTAATCTTTCTGAGCCATGAATTCTTCATTTGTGAAATATAGGACACTGAATGTCTAAACTGTTCTCTAAGGGAGACAGAGAGAAGGAGTAAAAAGAGTATGAGCTTTGGAAGCCAAAAGATCTCAGTTTAAACCACATGTCCACCACTTACTGCCACATGACCCTGGGTAAGTCAGGAAGCCTTTTCATACACCATTTCCCTCTGATGTAAAATAGAAATGGTAATACCCATTACTTAGGGTTGTTGTGAAGATTAATGCTCTTAACAAAGTACAGAGCGCTGGGTCAGCAATCCCTCCCTTCAGCTATAGTGTTTTACGACTTTAATCTTACCAGAGGCTCTACTTTGACTTGAGGATAGAGTAGATAGATGAAGATGTCCAAGAAGCCAGATTGCATTTGACTGGAGACCAATCACCCCAGAGACACTAATGACCTACAAATAAAAAGTTAACAGTTCAATGATGGGATAAGATCCAAGTTCTATTTAATAAAAGGTCACTCACAGAAAGTCACCAGTCATTTAGAAGGTGGTGGCTTGGCTGGCAATGAGCAATCCTATGACAAGATGTAATATCATGTGTCTAGTACACCATACCTAGGTCATATAGATACTCAACAAGTGTCTACTGAATGAATGAATGATTCATTCTTTAATCATAGCAGAAATAATTTAATCATACTAGCAGTTTTCTCAGGTTTCACTGAGACTGGTCTCGAAGTTTTCAAAAAAAAAAAATGGCAAAAAAACAAAACCCAGAAAGTAGAAAAGGGGTGATAGTTACTTAAGATGAAAATACCTCTAAAAATGGAAGGAGATACATTTTGTTCTCTTCTATAAATTATGCTCTACTGCTGCTTTATCATTCATGATAAGGATTTTTAAAATAATAATTTTCATTTACAGATTTTTCTCCCACATTATGGCAGCTTAAATTTCAGTAGAATCTTTTTTGAGTATATTTCTATTCATACATGCAAAAGAGAGTTTTGTCTGTTTAGAGATTTCTGTTTGTTTTTAAAAGTCTCAATGACTAAAACTCCTTTATGTGGTAGGTATTATCAGCTACATTTTACAAGAATGAAAACAAGTATGCTAAATGAAAAGAATAAAATATAAAGTTCTATATACAGTAAGAATACCAACTATGCAAACAAAAGAATACTTGAAAAGAAGTATGACCAAATATCAGTAACAGTTTCTTCCGGTTTGAAGGACCATCGGCGATTTTTTTCAGCTTCTTTCATTATGTGCTTTCAAATTTTATGCAACAAACATAATCGTTTTTTAAAAAAATCTTAAAAGATAAAAACATTTCTTAGCAGATTAATATATCTATTCTTTAGTCAAGATATACCCAAATATTTTTATCAGTGACATCTGAACTAGTGCCCCTTGACCTTTCTATCAAGATCTGCTGTGCCCTTTGATCACTTTCTCTTTTTCCTTATCTTTAGGGCCTGACATTCCTTGCAGAATCAGGCTTTAATTTTTTATTTATTTATTTATTTATTTATTTATTTATTTATTTATTTTTAGATGGAGTCTCGCTCTATCACCCAGACTGGCGTGCAGTGGGGCGATCTTGGCTCACTGCAAACTCCGCCTCCTGGGTTCACACCATTCTTCTGCCTCAGCCTCCTGCGTAGCTGGGACTACAGGCGTCTGCCACCACACCTGGCTAATTTTTTTGTATTTTTAGTTGAGACAGGGTTTCATTGTGTTAGCCAGGATGGTCTTGATCTCCTGACCTCATGATCTGCCTGCCTCGGCCTCCCAACGTGCTGGGATTACAGGTGTGAGCCATCAGGCTTCAATTTTTAAGGAAAACCAATGCCAGCTTAAGTTTACTAAAAAAATGCCAGTTTTTTTTTTTTTTTGCCCCCCAAAGGTAGTGCAAGTTTGTCAGTGAACACAGGTCCATACATCACTCCCAAATGCCTCTTGAACTCAGTGGAAATAACCAGAGACTTTCCCATTTTTCAGGTAAAACACGTTGTTTTATGTAATAGAAAAAAAGACAACAAAGGAGGATATGTTTTCCCACCCAAGGATTTTAAATTCATTTTCTCACCTGAGTTAAGGTTCTAATGACTTCATTAAGTCTGCCTTGAAAATGAGAGGTCTGGATGGCTTCTGATTTCAGCTGAAAGAATAAGAAGAAATACTCATCCCACCCACCTCCATAAAAAAGTAAAGAGTTATATTCCCAGTGCACGAGCTATCCATCTTCTAAGCTATGAAACAGTCCTTCTATTTCAAATACATAAGCTATGAGCTCCTCAAAGCAGGGCCCCATGCTTTATCTATCATTGATTTCCTGGCAACTGTTCACTGCGGCATGTAAGCAATCAATCAACTTTTACTGCATAAAAAAAGAGTTCCTTCAAAATTACTTACAAACTTAAACATACATAAGTCCACTGTGAAAATATTTTGAAGTTAAAGAACAATTACATAGATATACATCAGACATTACAGATGCAAAATGGAGTTTCTTGCAAATAACTTTTTTTTTTTTTTGAGACGGAGTCTCACTCTGTCGCCCAGGCTGGAGTGCAGTGGTGCAGTCTCCGCTCACTGCAAGCTCCACCCCCGGTTTCATGCCATTCTCCTACCTTAGCCTCCCGAGTAGCTGGGACTACAGGTGCCCGCCACCACGCCTGGCTAATTTTTTTGTATTTTTAGAAGAGATGGGGTTTCACCGTGTTCGCCAGGATGGTCTTGATCTCCTGACCTCATGATCCACCCACCTCGGCCTCCCAAAGTGCTGGGATTATAGGTGTTAGTCACCGCGTCCAGCCACAAATAACTTTTGAAATTTCTTATCATTCAATCATCTTTTCTCAGGCAGGGAAATATGTGGACAGCACCTAAATTGGCCAGGTTTAATCCCTACAAACCAAATTAAACAAAGAACAAACTTCTATAGAAATAATCCTTGGTTAAGTGAAATTATTCATACAGCAAGGCATTAAAAAGCCTGGTATAACTATTACCATGAGTATAAATCCTTCTGTTCTTAGCATACTAAGACACTGAATATTCTTCTCCTGCTATGGCTGTGTACACATTTAGATGTCTTCTCCTCCATGGTTTCTCTCTTTACCTGCATTACATCCCCTTCAGAGCCTACCAAGGCCACCATGCCGTGAAGAGCTGCCAGACAAAGCATTGTGGGAGTGCCCTGAAAACCAAGCATCAGAATATGAAAAGAGGGACTCAGTCCTTGGGTTTAGATTCTATAAAACTTATTATGACACAGAGAAATAAATGGTCGAAATGGTAGCAAACTTACAGGGTCAACATAACCCATATAACTGAACCCAAAATGGAAGCAGACTAAAAGTAACGGATTAAGGTTGTTAGATCATGGGTGGATTCTTGCTTTTATTTTTCAAAAAACAAAATGTTGTCTTAAAATTAAAACACAGACAAAATAGTTCAAAAAAATTATAATAGTTGGCAGAATGCATTATTTATAAGGGATTTAAAAGTATGTGATCTCTTTCATTTAAAATTGCCTATTATTTTACCACTAATGTATATATCTCAGCAGCTCCTGCAAGTGATCCAATAAAGTAGTTCTTTTTCCATTATAAAAACATGAAATAGCATACAACAGGTGACCTCTACCTCTGTAAGAACAATTCTGATCCAGGCAGGAAGTAGCTTGCTGCCCAAGTCTTCAGCTTTTCCATGTCCACACACAGACAATCCATGAACTATGTTTCCTAAAGCCAGGGCAAAACCTGAAGTCTGATATAAATAAATAAAAATGGGGTGAGAAAAAGAAAAAAAAAAAGACACAGATTTGGAATGTTTATAACTAGCAACTTAAACACTTTTAGTGCTAACTTTCCTACTGACAAGTTATATTTGTCATCTGAAAAATCAGATACTTAGTGTTTGTTTTGTTTTGTTTTGTTTTGTTTGTAATCTAGACGGGTTTGCATCATAAGCTGCAGGGTCTAATTGCAAGGAATTCAGTTTCAGTGAGTAATTTATTTTAGGAAAGTAATACTGCACTATTGAGCAGCTTAGCTCAAACAATCGGAAGAGGTTAGGGTGAAAATACCAAGGTAGACCACACGAAGTCAATCAACTCCTAAACAAAAAGAAAACATCCCATAATAAGCACAGTATATGAAAACTTCTACCTTTCAACTTTTCAAAACTTACTCTGAATGTAACTGAGCAGGTATATAACCATAAAACAGTAACAATAATATTACAAGCTTAAAACCAATTAATTCTGCAATAAACCATTATCATCAGTATTAAGACACTGAAGAAACCTTTAAAAAATCCACATGGGGAAATTCTATAGCATGTGTAATCAGATAAAATATTTTTTTTAGTTTTTTTTTTTTAATTGTAGCAATGTACACATAAAATTTATCATCTTTACTGTGAATACCAGTTCAGGGGCATTAAGTACACTCATACTGCTGTGCAACCAATACCAACATCCATCTCCAGAATCTTTCCCTTGAAAAACTGAGACTCTTTACCCATTAAACAGTAACTGCCCATTTCTCCCTTTCCGTAGGCCCGGGCAACCACCATTCTACTTTCTGTCTCTATGCTTTTGACTACTCTACGTAGCTCATGTAAATAAAAGCACACAGTGTTTGCTTTTTGTTACTTGTTTATTTCATTTAGCATAATGCCTTCAAGGTTCATCCATGTTCTAGTACACATAAGAACTTCCTTCTTTTTTTTTTTTTTTTTTGAGACAGAGTCTCGCTCTGTCGCCCAGGCTGGAGTGCAGTGGTGCGATCTTGGCTCACTGCAAGCTCTGCCTCAGCCTCCAGAGTAGCTGGGACTACAGGTGCCCACCACCATGCCCAGCTAATTTTGTGTATTTTTAGTAGAGACAGGGTTTCACCATTTCAGCCACGATGGTCTCGATCTCCTGACCTCGTGATCCACCCGCCTTGGCCTCCCAAAGTGCTGGGATTACAAGCGTGAGTCACTGCAGCCGGCCAGAACTTCCTTCTTTTTTAAGGTTGAATAATATTTCAGAGGAAACATTTTAAGGTTATTTAATTTAGTTTACAGGTACTTAAATTTTCCTATACATATTTGGTCATGAGTAGAGATTTTCTGCCTTGAATTTTCTGAGGTTTGACTTTATCAGAGTCTTCTATGTATTCATCTCTTTACAAATTTTTGTTTCTAGGCTTACATAACTCTTATATTCCCTAGCCATATATTTTATGATCTTATAACTACGGAGCAATAGTTAGAGAGAGAGAAAAGTCTATCAATACTCTCTCAAAGAAAAAAAAATGTCTACAGAATGAGACAGCGGATAAGGAGAAAAAAAAAAAACATCTGTGACTGTTGGCTACAGCTGTGAGAGAAGAGAATAGTTAGAAGTTCCTCAGTTCTAGACACAAAAAATATCCCATTGTACTCTAATTCAGAGTAAGTCAAAAGCAGAACTTAGCAGCAGCATGAGACCACAGAGAGAAATAATCAGGGCACACATTCCAACCTGCTGGCTATTCTCCACTAACAGTCGAAGCTTGTTCATAACATCCTCAGCCTCTGCAGCCTCAATAATTCCAGCACTGAACGCTGATGTACATACACAGCTAAGTGTGTAGGCAAGGACCTGAGAAGAAAATATAGCAGAAAAATGTGTCTTCAGGAGGAAAAATAAAAGAACTTGGTTTAGTTGACAAGATATTCTGTCAAACTTCCCTCCAGCGTAAGAACTGGATTCAAATACATTTCCCATGGATTAGGCACTGTTTTGCTGCCTAACTCATATTGTAACATTTCATAACAATGTGATGATGGGCATGACTATTCCTACTTCATAGATAAGAGCTTTGAAGCTCAGTTTCATGTAGCTAGCAAGTGACAAAGGACGGATTCAAACCCAGGTCTTTAGACTCATAATAGTACATTTCTTTACCACATTATGCCAGAGTACAGCACCTATCAACAGTAGAAGGAAACAGATTTTTCATCACCAGTGGGTGCTACTAATTAATTGCCATGCATTCCCATCCAAGGCCAAACAGGAGAGGAAATTCAAAGAAGTGAAACACTGCTCCATTAAGATTCCCTAGAACTAGTGGGGCATAACTGGAACAGGAATATGGATTCTGGAGTCAGATAAATTGTATAAAATAAGAATACTAATACCTGCCTCATAGCACTAGTATGGGAACTTAATATGTTGATGAATGAATGAATAAATAAAATATGAGTAAAAAAGAATGGTGGGAGTGGAGCCAAGATTTGGGAATATGTCCCAAATTGATCATTTACTAGCTAAGTAACTTTGGGCAAGTCACCCAATCTATCTGAGTCTCAATTATTGCACATCAAATTTAATCATCCCCTCTCTGCTACCTCATATTTTCATGATAAAAAACCTCCCTTATAAGAATGCTGTTAAGACAAAGTAGAAAATTCAACTTCTAGCACTGGTTGATACGGCATGAAAAACGTAAGCGGTTTCTAAGGTAGAAGTTGAATAATAAAACATCAGAGGGGAGAAAAAACTGCTTGCTTAAGGCCTTATAAATCAAAACATCACAGATGCATCAGTTATAAAAATGCTGCTTTCATTTATAATCAATTTGCTCCTCGGTTGCAAGATTTTCTCTTTTGGCTTAAAAAAAATACGTACTTTTAAATCACACTTTACACTGCTTTAAAAATGGAAATGTAGTGCATGTCTTAGAACAAAACTTCATTCCTCTGTGCCCAAAGAAATTCACCAATTCAACAAGTCCTATTGCTGAAAGCAGAGGAGCTGAGCAGGGAAACACAGCAGCCATTATGTACTCATCAATAGCTCGTGGGCAGGCTGGGATAAAATAGAATCTGTTCTAATGAGAGAGAGAATCAGGCCAGGCCACGAGGTCATACTCTGCTCCTCTCAAAGAAGAGTACAAGCGGTCCAACTTCACCTGGACAAAATAGAGACGGGCATGACACATGCCTGAAATGTTCCATCTAAAAATATGGTTAACACACATGAACTGGGTCACATGAACTCCAATTCTGCATATTTTTGCACCACAGCAGAAAAAAACTTTTTTTTAAGTATGGTAAAGGGAATTTCCTCAATAATATTTTATGCTAGCTGACATTTTAAAAAATTAAATGCCTTTTGATCGGCAGTTTCTGAAGCTTATTCCTGGCCATTTTTGAAAGTTACATTTGGCTTGAGCACAATTCTAAAAATCTCTATTTAACTTTCTTCCAGAAATTGTAGCTCTTCTTAGAAAGTGCCTTCTAGTGATGCTGAGTTAGGTTTTATATTCACTAAAGGCTCTTATCTTATATGCCACATTTAAGTCTAAGTTGATTTAAACTGCCACACAATTTGAAAACCTTATGATCTAACATTGGTTGTTTGCCATTCGGATTTTCTCTTTGAGGAAGAATTTAATTTATAGGGTTACCAAAGTATGGTAAGTCCAAAATAAGTGGCAAGAAGAAAACAAAAGAGAACAGAGGGAAAAAAAATGTAACCTCCATCTCCTACCTCCTGAAATGTTCTGCTCTGGCTCCCACTGTCATCTAGGTACGCAGACAGCTTCCGAAGCGATGCTGCCACATGAACGCGGGACTGCATTTGGCTGCTGTGGCTCATGAGGGACAGAACAAGTCCAACTCCCAATATACAGCCCGTGCTTGGATGCCAAAAAAGATGAGGTGTTAGGAGCATAAGAAATCCACATAGTTGCTCTTCACTTACCATGGGTGTTTACAGTGCTCTCAAACCTCAGTGAGATGGCTGGATTCAAATTCTGCTGCCTAGTAGCTGGTGTGTCCCATCATCCCTGACAAGTACACCCACCTCTCCCTTCAAAACGAACACCTGACATCTAAACAGGTATCTGTGGCCCATGCTAGTGCTGTGCACCCCCTGGATAAAAACAAAAGCAGGAAATAGTTTGACTTAAACTTTATGGGTGAGAAAAGGAAAAGGCATAAACCAGCTCTATTTGTGCCCTTACTGAAATGCTGTAGTTTTTCCTGTACCACCGCTACCTGCATGTTGAATATACTGTGATCAACTGCATAAGGAGAGAAAAGACTAAAATTCAGGATGTGAGCTGAGGACATCTGACTAATAGCAAAGAAGATAAATGCAAGGCACGATTATGAACTACTACTAAGTGCTTCAGGTTTCCTAGTCAACTTCAACAAGTGGAATTTCTTTCCTAAAGAAACTGTGTATTTGTGCACAATGACATTAATCCTTCTCTCCCCTCTGATCTTGCAGAATACCACTGGGTCAGAAGAGAAAATGGACAAATGACAGGCTTGTCAAAAGTTACCCCATGTGACAATTCAATTGAAATCTAGGGCTTTGTGTCCCAATTCTCCTGAATGAATACACATCCATTTAAAGAAAATAATTGTTCTCTCAGAAAACTTCAAGATAGTATGGTAAGATGATGCAGCTTGTGGTAATACTTCAAAGAAAAAAGCTTTTGTCATTGTTTTTTAAATGGAGAAAATGCAATATTTTTCAGAAATCACCCTTACTCTGGCTTGCCTTGCCTCTCATCACGATATCTGCTGCCGAAGAAAACACTCCAGGGCATTTCTCCGATAATGTATCTCAATGCCCACATGTTAGGTCATTTTGCTCTTAAACGACATCTATCCCCTTGGTCAGTGTCAAGAACATTTGCATCATTTTATAAGCATCTTAGTTACTTCCCCCAACACCCGTGTGCAAATGGAGCACCCACACCTAAAAGAAGACACCCAGAAGGATAGACAGGCTACAGGATTTGCTCAAGGTCACACGGAGAGCATCCAGCAGAGCGCAGCCAATACAAGAGGATTTTTTTATTTCTAGCCTTCTGTCCCATCTGCCAAACCCAAGGCCCCTCTCGGTGCCCTGCATGGTGCCATGATGAAATACGTATGAGAAGGCACCATAACTCAAGTGTGTTTTTCTAGTTTCTGTTGCATAACAATCAGCCATTCAAAAATCCTTCGTAAAGAAGCTACGACAGTAACTATCATTAGTCAGGCAGAGCTGCTGTTACAGCTTCGTAAACTTAACAAGCTCAACTAGCATAATGCATTTTTGACCAGTTAAAGCAACACCTAAGATCTCAATACAGCATGCTTTTGAGACTAATCACATTTATGGAAGAGGAAAGGCTACTCTTGACTAATATGAATGTAAAGCCTTTGCTATTATTTAGAATCTACAGGGAAGTATAGAATCTATATTGATGCATACAACCATTTGACAGAATTAGACCAAAGATATAATTAGACAAAATTTGATCAATACTTTGACAAATTTGACGTTGTTCCCTCTTTGACTATTTAACTGCTACCTATGCTTAAGATTTCAAATGTTACTTCCTCAGAGACATCATTCCTCGCCCAGCAGAGAGCCTCTTTAATACTCTCCCACAGCACCCTGTGCTAATTTACTTCATACAATTTTAATTATAAACTCTGATGAAAATTATTTGGGGGATTGTTTGATTATTATCTCTTCCCTGGCCTCAAAGCTCCATAAGGGTGGGTACACCTTTTCTATTTTTTCCCTACCACAGTATCTGCTGCACCTAGTATACTGCTTGGCATATACAAGCACTCAACCAGTATTTATTGAAAGCTGAAGAACTAACCAAATGAATAATTTTAAGAGTCTAGAGTAGAGAGAAGATCTACAGAAGAATAAAAAAGCAAGACTTGATTCTTATGTTTAGTAGGAGGCAAATTTTATGAGTAGTAGAATTCACCGAACATATCACGCAAGATTCAACCAAGAAAATTCAGTTTGTTTCTTGCCAGGCTAACTGCAAAAAGAGGAACACTAGGCTCATCTGGAAAACAAATTCCTCTCAAAGTTCACACCAATAGGGTTTATCTTTCTGAATAAACAAGGAAGTATGTAAGTCTTGCTTTTCAGGCTATCCTGTGCACACAAAAATCTCTATCCCCTAGATTGAAGCCCCTCTTTTATCATCTCAGGGGATAGAGACATTAAGGCTTTGAAAAAGACATTTCTGTTTCTATTCCACATTTACCTAAAATTTATCATAGCAATTATTACTATAACCTAAGCAAGGTTATAATTCACTAGTGATTCTATTCATTGCTACAATGGCAGTTAACTGACTGGTGTAACAGATGAATATATAACAGTGTATGTATATACATGTGCCAATGTCACTGTTACGGCATATACACCTATTGCCCCTCTAAATAGGTCCCCTCTCATTTCACTCAATTTTCCAGTATGCACCAAGAACGTAGTCCTAAAACTTTATTCCTGATTTCCCTCTGATTTCTAAATCTTCTATATTTTAATGTGTTTATTTTTGCCCTAAATCTTAAAATGTTCCCCCAGGTGCTTAGTTCAGCAATTCCACATATTTACCTCATTCTAGCTTCTCTTTGATATGTCTGCCAGCTTTGAACCAAGAATAGCTTGGGCAGAGTTGGCTTTTATATCTTTCTGTCCACTGAAAACAAAAAGGAATTAGGTGTTGGTGTCTTCGACAGAGGAAATAAAAATAAATTATAATATTGGGTATAAAACTGAACTTACGAATTGCTAACATAAATGTTCTGTAAGAGTGCTAACAAATGATAAAGAGAATTTGAGTTTTTAAATTCCATACACTATTATGTCATTACTTAGTTGAATCTATTATCAGAGTATATTAAAATATCACCAGCAAAAGAAATCCTGACACTTAAAAGCTAAGCAATTCTGATGTTTGTGTTGCTGTATCAACTCAGATATAATTATATTTTTTTCTAAAATTAATCAGAGATGAATCTTCAATTCCCTAGTTTACCGTAGGCAATCCTGCAGATTAAGTACTAGGCCATCTAATAATTAGTTCTAATAACAGTTAACATTTGTATAGTGCTTTGTAAAGGGCAAAGCACTATACAAATGTTATCGTATTTGTAAAAGCTCAGTAGTAATTAACCAAAGCTTGGGTCGTTGATGACTGCATGACTACGGTTAGGGCTGTGAGGATCACAATGGCACAATGAGCTACCACTAGATGGCAGTAAAATGTTAGTGATAGGCTCACCAATACCAGCCAGCCCAGGTGTGCGGTTCTTTCAGTAGGGACACGTCCATTAAATCACGGAAGCACCGTGAATTTGCTCTGGGTGAATTCTATCATTTGAAGGAGCACACTCCCACATCTATTAACTACCTTCTAGTAAGACTTCCACTGTTTCACTTGAGGGAGGCTTGCCCTAGACTCCTGCAATCTCATTAGATAAGGGAATACTTTACACCATGAGCCAGGCTTTCAGGTCTGGGTCTAGTTAGAAAAGCAGAAGAAAGAATTAAAAAATTAAAGAAAAACGTGGGTGACATTTGCACATCAGAAAAAAATAAATACACAGCATACTGTCAAGCATCAAATTGCTTTCTTTCTATTGAACTGTGTTACCCATACCGTGTTATGTAAGAAAAATGGCTTTGAAGTCAGATGTCCCAGGTTCCTCTCTTGGCTCTGTCACTTGTTAAGTATATGACCTTGAACAAGCCTCCTATATGAGACTCACATTCTTTATCTGTAAACCAAAGTGATGATGATTCCTACTTCAGTATCATGTTTAGGTTGTGACATGGATGTAAGTCCATGAGAAACAGACGTGAAAATGCCTAGCTTGGCATACAGCTGCTCAGTAAGTATCAGTTGAATGTGAAGCCAAAAAGAGAACTATGCTGGGTGCAGTGGCTCACATCTGTAATCTCATTACTTTGGGAGGCCAAGGTTGGGAGGATTACTTGAGGCCAGGAGTTCAATACCAGCCTGGGCAACACAGCAAGACCCTGTTTCTACAAGAATAAAAAATTTAGTCAGGCATGGTTGCATATGCCTGTAGTACCAGCTACTTGAGGCTGAGCCAGGAGGACTGCTTGAGCCCAGGAGGTTGAACTTGCAGTAAGCCATGATTGTGTCACTGCACTCCAGCTTGAGCAACAGAGTGAGATCCTGTCTCAAAAAAAACAAAAACAAAAACAAAAACAGAAACGCATAAGGACTGACACCTAGAGAGCATTAGTAACGATGAAGCACTAAACTTCATTAACTGTAGGACTAACAGTTTGGAGAGGATGGACGAAGGGCTTCTTGAAGCACCTGAGCTTTTAATTGGGCTCTAATAGGCAAGTTTCCACTAAATGGACAAGAAGTCCAGGCCTACCAATACAGTTGTTCATTAAGAACATAAGAATCAAGAAAGAAAGAAAGAATGAAGGAGTAAGAATCTTATTAGTAATAAAAATAAATTTTAAAGTTAAATATGCTTAGACATATGAAGTTTTTAAGCACCTCAGCATCTGCATGGTGGGTAATTCATCCCCATGGTACTCCTTACATTTAAACAACCTCCCTGAAAATGATGGAGACAATGCCTGAAAGACATTCCTGACTGTGCCCCACTGGCTGAAGCTTGCAGCATCTTAATCTCAAATTTTTTCCAAACTTTATAACATCTTGAGCTACAGCTATAATGAACATCTTTCGGTGGTATGAGGAGGCAGGAGGGATGAAAAGAGACATAAAAATATCTTATTCCTTGGTTGTAAAAGGCAACAATACAAATGCATGGATTAGGTTCAAAATCTCAACTCTTCATTGAATTCAAATAACAGCTAAATTTCCCTATTTTTCTCATTAATCATTTTCTACATTCAAGAGACTTTAACCACGCCATCAAACTCTTTCTTTACCCATATTCAAACCACACTCTTAAGAAGTCACTTGACCCCAAAAGTGTTTCTTGATAAACTAGGTGAGTGGCACTAGTTCCTCTCCAATCTTAGCCTGCATCTGAAAGAAGATCCCATAACTACCACCTACTAAATGGACATTTTACTTTATTTACTCCTGATGAAATCCTTTACACATGCAGCTACCACTACCATATCATTTACCCTTTTGTCAGTCTGAAACTAACGGTATAGAAGGTATGTATGTAGCTTTAAACTTATGTTCCTAAAGGCCAGAAATAAAAACACTGATTTAATGCATATTTCAGCAGTGCCCATAATATCAAAAGGTAAATGAGTCAATAAACTGGAAGTTAATGCTTATAATCTGTTAGTTCCTAGTAACAATGAACCCCAGAGGATTCATGCCTGAGGTTCCAAAACACGTGGAAGTCCAAAAACCTATGATGTAGCTCCCTCAAGAATGTCATTATTTTCAAAAGCCTAACAAAACCATATATTCACCCATACAAGTCACATAGACTAACTGAAACATTAAATATCTCATTAAATGAGTGTGTTTAACACTTTTTTGAGTATTCTTTTTTGATTATTCCTTTTCGTTTTTATCTTTCATTACTGAAATGAGAAAATAAATTTTAAAGTATTTAGTTTAATAGACAAAAATCCTTAAAAACCATGGGGTTAGCATGGGGAAGGGAAAGGTTCTTAATGCTAAGCAGGTGGTAATCCCTGATATAATGTGTTTGCTTCCATTTCTACTTCTTAGCCACGTTACTTCACAGGGAAACATAAATCATCAGTCAAAGCCCCTCTTAGCCCAATCAAATTCAAATGGCCTCAACAGATCTTTAAAAAGATTAAGTCGGCTGGGCAGGGTGGCTCACACCTGTAATCCCAACACTATGCGAGGCAGTGGCAGGTGGATCACATGAGGTCAGGAGTTTGAGACCAGCCTGACCAACTGGTGAAACCTCACCTCTACTAAAAATACAAAATTAGCTGGGCGTGGTGACGTATGCCTGTAATGCAGCAATTTGGGAGGCTGAGGCAGGAGAATCACTTGAACTCGGGAGGCGGAAGTTGCTGTGAGCCGAAATTCCACCATTGCACTCCAGCCTAGGCAACAAGTGTGAGATGATGTATAAATAAATAAATAAATAAATAATAAAAAGAAATACTTTAAAAAAAAGATTAAGTCATGCATCCATGTCCCCATACATGTGCCTCGTATGATAAACGTAAGTCAAAACTAAGGTCTTAGTAATATAAGGTGTAAGCTGCAAAATGACAGTTGTTACTCTGAATTTAAGCAATTTATCTATTGCTGAAACATGGTTTTCAGAACAAGGAAGCTTTAATTATAAGTTTTTTTTATTATTTATTACTGAAAACTCTCTGCAAAGGAATTCAAAATCACATCCTACAAATATTTCTCCATATGAATTTTAGGATTGTTTTTTCTAGTTCTGCGAAGAATGAAGGTAGTATTTTGATGAGAACTGCACTGAATGTGTAGATTGCTTTTGGCAGTATGGTAATTACCACAATATTGATTCTACCCATCTATGAGCATGGGATGTGTTTCCATTTGTGTCATCTATGATTTCTTTCAGCAGTGTTTTATAGTTTTCCTTGTAGAGGTCTTTCACCTCCTGGTTAGATATATTCCTAAGTATATTTCTAAGTACCTTATTATTATTTTTTTTTTTTGCAGCTATTGTAAAAGGGGTGGGGTTCTGGATTTGATTCTCAGTTCGGTCACTGTTGGTATATAGAAGAGCTACTGATTTGTGTACATTAATTTTGTGTCTAGAAACTTTGCTGAATTCTATTATCAATTCTGGGAGTTTTCTGGAGGAGTCCACATAGCCAAAGCAAGACTAAGCAAAAAGAACAAATCTGGAGGCATCACATTACCTGATTTCAAACTATACTATAAGGTCACATTCACCAAAACAGCATGGTACTGGTATAAAAATAGGCACATAGACCAATGGAACAGAATAGATAACCCAGAAAAAAACCCAAATACAGCCAAGTGATCTTCAACAAATCAAATAAAAAAAAAAACATGAAGTGGGGAAAGGACACCCTAATCGACAAATGGTGCTGGGGTAATTGGTAAGCTACATGTAAGCTTAATTGGCAAACTACATGTAAGAAAATAAAACTGTACAGAAGGATCCTCAGCTCTCACCTTACCCAAAAATCAACTCAAGATGGATCAAGGACTTAAATCTAAGACCTAAAACTATAAAAATTCTAAAAATAACACAGGAAAAACATTTCTAGACATTGACTTAGGCAAGGATTTCATAATGAAGAACCGAAAAGCAAATGCAACTAAAAACAAAGATAAATAGCTCGGACTTAATTAAACTAAAGAGCTTTTGCACAGCAAAAGGAACAATCAGCAGCGTAAACAGACGACCCACAGAATGGGAGAATCTCTTCACAATCTATACAACTGACAAAGGACTAATATCCAGAATCTACAACAAACTCAAACAAATTAGCCAGACAAAACCAAACAAGCCCATCAAAAAGTGGGCTAAGGACATGAATAGACAATTCTCAAAAGAAGATATACAAATGGCCAGCAAACATATGGTAAACCGCTCAACATCACTAATGATCAAGGAAATGTAAATCAAAACCACAATGCGATACCACCTCACTCCTGCAAGAATGGCCATAATAAAAAAATAATAGATGTTGGTGTGGACACGGTGAACACAGAACACTTCTACGCTGCTGGTGGGAGTGTAAACTAGTACAACCACTACGGAAAACAGTGTGGAGATTCCTTAAAGAACTAAAAGTAGAACTACCATTTGATCCAGCAACCCTACTACTGGGTATGTACCCACAGGAAAAGAAGTCATTACACAGAAAAGTACTTTCACATGTATGTTTACAGCAGCACAATTCACAATTGCAAAAACGTGGAACCAACTCAAATGCCCATCAATCAATGAGTGGATAAAGAAACTGTGAGATACACACACACACACACACACACACACACACACACAATGGAATACTACTCAGCCATAAAAAGGAATGAACTATGACATTGACAGCAATCTGGATGAGACTGGAGACTATTATTCTAAGTGAAGTAACTCAGGAATGGAAAAACCAAATGTCGTATGTTCTCACTCATAAGTGGGAGCTAAGTTATGAGGATACAGAGGCTTAAGAATCACACAATGGACTTTGGGGATTCAGGGGGAAAGGGTGGGAAGGAGGTGAGGGATAAAAGACTACAAATTGTGTGCAGTGTATACTGCTTGGGTGATGGGTGCACCAAAATCTCACAAATCACCATTAAAGAACTTACTCATGTAACCAAACACCACCTGTTCCCCAATAACCTATGGAAATAAAAAATAAAAATAAAAAATATTTCTCCATAGCATGCAAGACTTATGGCAGTGTAGGAAGCAATGTCTAAGTACCTGTGAGAGTGGAAATAGGAACAACATACTTGTATTCAAGGCTAGTGTCAAAGCAGCAATTTTCCAGGGCATCCAAAGACTTCATCAGAAGAAGGTTCATCTCTTGGCCAGATATATCACTGAATGAAGATCAAGGGGAAACAATGAATTATTTAAAATTAGTCAACTGTCCAAAATGCTTAATACAATATTATTCTCTCAATATTTTACTGGAAATACAAGCATTTCTCTTTTAAAAAGTAACAATACTGATGAGTTGCATATGCTTATTTTGTAGTTACAGAAACTAAGTCTGACAAATTATTCAACAATTGGGTTTCTGAGCAGTACAATCACTTGCAAACCAAAAAACACAAAATCTCCTATTTTTGATTTTTCTCAGCCTATTCAAATTTTAAGTCATTAAAAAATAAAAAATAAACTCAGAATTCCAAATTAATATTTCTAAGAACGCTTAAGTGATTTTCTTCAGAATACTTAACGTATTAAGCTGACATTATCAATAATGATTCCAAACCTCTTTCTTGCAAAGACTGTCACTTCTTTTCATGTCTCAATTGTGGAGGCTGTAAATTCTATTCCTTTACTTACATTTTTTTTAAGGGGAGAAAATCCTAGACCTATATGTGTTTGCATTTATACAGAAACTGATGATTTTATAAATGCCTGGGTGTGAAGTATGACTTGCATAGTAAAATAAAACTTAAAAGGTTTTATGGCTGTCCCTTCAGGCCGATTTGTGGGCTTCATCACTGACATTTTAGTAGTGAGAGATTTCTACATCTCAACTCTCATATTGCTACTTCAGATCATGCTAAGTGGAATGTAACTCCAGGAATGACAACCAGGCAGAGAGCACTTTTTAAAACATTTTCCCAAACCAAGACTACAGCAGTTTTGCTCAAGGTGAAGGATTTTTTGCAATGAAACAAATGCCCACATGCACATCCCTTGCATCGCACATACAGACTTAACAGCTTTAACTAAATAAATCCTATAAAAGTTGTCCTTTGGAGTAAAATATACTTAAATATCCTAAACAAATGCTA